CGCTCCCCGGCACCCCATTCCCCGCTTCCCAGCACCCTGCTCCCCAGCACCCCGCTCCCCGGCACCCTGCTCTATGGGAACTGCTCCCCATCACCCTGCTCCACGGGAACTTGGCAGAGGGGGGAGGAACACCAGGAGGCGCCGGCACCAGGAACGAGGAAAGGACACCAGAAATTCACGCGAAGTGGACTCTTCTCCGTGGGTTCTTGTTTGCACAGCTCATTGGGAATCTTTGCTACAACTCGCAACGGGGGGATCAGAGCATCACTGTCTGTGTCACAGGCGAGGAAACCAAGACAGCAAGCGTGGCCAAGGTCAAGCACAGGTGTCTCTGAAGCGCGGGCTGTCCCAGCGACACCGGCACTGGGCCCCTGCGCCCCGACCTGGCCCCCGGTGGTCGCGTGGCTTTCCGGAGCGTTTTATCCCTCCAGGGACCGGACACTGACACTGACTCCAGGGCGTGCAGCTCCCTGGGCTTCCGCACACGCGGCTCCGGAAACACATTCTCGCTGCAGCAGCGTAGAGAAGCAGGCACCAAACACGACAAACGGCTCGTGAGGAGAGCAGGCGGGAGTCAGCCTCTCCAGGTTAGAGACGTTTTTAATGAAATGATGGGCCTCAAGCAGGGCCCGGAAGAGAGCAGACAGCTGACGGGCAGCTCCTCAAGGGCCAGCAGGATGAGGCTCCTGGACCCCTGAGGACTAGTCGGAGGCCCTTAAAGCCAGCGCTGGAGCCCCACCTGATGTGGGTGAGAGGGGAGGGCTCAGGGGCTTTCACTGAAGCCTTAGAGCAACACTCCAAACACCGGGCAGAAAATAAGAACATGGTGCCCGGCAAGTGTAGCTCAGTGGTTGGTGTCGGCTATGAACCAGGAGGTCATGGTTCTATTCTGGTCAAAGGACAGGCCTGGGTTGCAGGCTCCATCCCCAGTCGGGGGTGTGCAGGAGGCAGCCAATGGATGTTTTTTATCGATGTTTCTATCTCCCTCTCCCTCTCCCTTCCTCTTTCTCTAAAAATAAATCTCATATATTTTAAAGAAGAAAATAAGAACAAGGTGGCTGA